GTACTTAGTTGAAAAACGCCCTAACTCAACTGAAAATATATTAAAAATATATTGAGATATGGCGTTTTTGAGTCGGCGGCTGAGATGGGCCGTTTTTGAAACGAATTCTGAGATAGGGTGTTCTTGAAAAGTAGGGATGTGCCAAGTATCCGGTAGATATCCGGAATCCGGCTTATCCGGCCGTTTTACTGATATCAGACTATCCGGCCGGATCCTGGCTAAAATCCGGCCGGATTTCCGGATTTCCATTATAGAGGACTCAATTTAAAAATCTATGTAGTTCACAATTTTTTTTTTTGTATTTTCATAATCAAATTTAATAGTACCTAAGTAATTAGTAATTAGAGTTAAAAATTTATATATTTTTCATAATGAAAATAAGCATTTCCGCAACAACTTATTTCTATTTTCAACATAAATGCTACCCGATGCCCTAAACACCCTTTTTAAGTTCACTGAGGAAGGTGATTTGCAGATATACTCCATTGCCAGTGTAAACAAATCTGAAAATTCTTTACGACTATTCTTCCACCAAATTAAAGGATCTTCCTTTCTGGGTATAAGAGGTAGCTGTAAATATTTCTCAATTTCCCCATCGTTTAGCTATCCATATCACTACAAAAACAGGAATCAGCATCAGAGCCGTTGGTAATTTCCTCAAATCATTGCCAAATTTCCTGGTGGGCTCGCTTTTCAATAGAAGCTTTCACTAGAGTTCGGCATTTTTCATATGATTCATATGATTCTCCATCTAACTGATTTATATTTGCGAATTAGTTCACCATCTACCCAGTTTTTAGATTTACTGATGTCAGAAAAAACGGATTTTGAAACGTGGGTCACAAACTATTGCCACAATGAAGCAGTTCGATTTTGATCACTTTTTAAAATAAAAATACATCAAACATGCGTTTTTTCTTAGCGGCGTTCATGGTTGCTTATCAGTTTTCTGTGACGATTCTCCTCTAGTTACCAAAAATAATCGACAAATCCGCGTTGCTGAAGAGAACTTATCTTTTTAATACAACATTATTTTATAACTTGGATTTAAGACGAAAATTTTATATTCTTAATTACGTACAGATAAACTGGCCATAAGTCGCTAAACAAAAACATTGAATATAACAACATTATGAAATTAACTAAGAGCAGCACTCTACCGGATATCCGAATCCGGCTGTTATTTTTTACATGGTATCCGGAATCCGGTTATCCGACAAAATTTCTATACGGCACATCCCTATTGAAAAGTTTTCTGAGATATGGCGTTTTCGAACTGGCTGCCGAGATAAATCGATCTTCCACTCAGGTGTCGATCTTTAAATCGGTGGGGTACATATTTGAAGAAATAAGTATTTTCGAATGGGTTCTACTGAAGCAACCTCCGCTGTGGACGCAGGTGGAAACTTGTGTTTTGCTTATTAAACGCAAAATAAATGTAAAAATTACCGAAAATGATTTTTTAAATTTGGTGTCACACCTTCGATTGGCTTCAATTTATGGGTTCTATACATGAAATAAGCTAACACGTGTTCGACGAATCTTTTTTTTTTCTACTTTTTCTTTGGAGATATGATCTGTCAAAGTTTGCATTTTTTCTTGATTCCGACTAATCATGTACTCCTTCAAATCGTTACATCTCGAGTTCTGCCCATAGAGACTTCATCTTAACGTCGTTTTAAAGCTAAAGAAACGGGCTTAACATTTCTTTATATAAGATGGTCAAGAATGTCCTAAAGCTAACTTAGCTATTAAAAGTTGAACTTTTTGAAGTTGATTTGCATAGTGAAGACCAGTAAATTAGGGATTTATAATTATACCATCGCAATTTTTTTTTAAATCTCCACAAAAAAAAAGTGGTTAAAAATGGGGGGTTTTCAAGAACTATTTTTAAAATATTGTTCTTTATGACGAGATGGTTTATTTTTCGTAATTTTCAAACAAAGAATATTATAGAAATGGGCGTCGCTATATTAAAACCAAAGTTCAAAAATTTAGACTTCATTGTGGATTTCGCCAGAATATCTATGTTGATTGAAAAAGTTGTGGCACAAATATTGTTAACGAAGCGATATTCTGCCGAAATCCGCAATAAAATCTGCGTTTGCTAATTATAGTCCTGCGATTGCAACGCCCATTTCTAGGGGTTTGTCACCTTAAAGAAAAATCTTGCGATACAAATATTATATCTGGATAGATATTCTATCGGAATCCGCAATAAAATTTTACTTTTTGCAGAAACCCGATGTTTAACATTTTACCAAATATATCTTAACATAAGTTTTCGAAAAAAAATTACAAAAAATTGTCGATTCTCACAAAATAAAAAATATTTTAAAAATAGTTCTTGGTATAATTTTAAATCCTTAATTTACTGGTCTTCGCTATGCAAATCAACTTCAAAAAGCTCAACTGTTAATAGCTAAGTTAGCTTTAGGACAATCTTGACCATCTTATATATAGAAATGTTAAGCCCGTTTCTTAGCTTTGAAATGACGTTAAGATGAAGTCTCCGCGATCAGCAGAACCCGAGATGTGAAGAAATACATGATTGGTCAGAATCACGAAAATTCAACTTTGACAGATCATATCTCCGAAGAAAAAGATAAGAAAAAATTTCCTGGAACACGTGTTAGCTTATTTCATGTATAGAAACCACAAAACAAAATTTGAAGCGAATCGAGACATGACACATTTTTTTACGAAATCCCTCCGACTTAAAAAAAATCGCTCATGTGTAAAAAATTACAAACATAACTGTTGAAAAAATCGAGTCTTGTCGAAACCAGAAGCTATTTGATAATCAAAAATGGTCTAAAATGTTTGTTCATTTTCAAAACCATATGGAAATATATTAAAAAGTAGTACAATTTTTTTTATGTATTCTTGGTTCGAATGCATCAACCGCACGAATATTCTCAATAATCAATAATTTTGGCCAGTGAGAAAGCTCAACTCAAAATTGAGACTATTGAAGCATCTGTGCTTACTAATTGTATCTTATACTACGTTGATGCGTAGGCTAATTCACGAATTCATTTCATGAATTAAGGTTAAAATTGGCTGCATAAACACCATTTCATGAATTCAGTTATACATGAAAGTTAACCATGAATTCGGCATCATTTCATGAAATCGTGAAGTGCAAGTCCGGCAACGCCACGTTTCACAAACAGCTGTTTACTAGGGTTACAATGTTCTTAGATTAATAACCATGAGTGGCATAATCAGGATTTTAAACACTGGAAAAGTTATGTGGAATTGTTCAAATATAAAATAAATTCAAATAGAATAAACTGAAAATATATTAAAACCAATTTAAATAAAATAAGGTTCATTGCCTGGTATCAACGGCTTTTGCAAATTCAAAAGGAGGCAAAAAAATCACAACCCTACTGTTTAGTTTCCCGCCAGTGCGTTGCCACTTTTTCAAATCACTTTATTTCATGAATTCGCGAACTATGCATAAACGGGACCATTTTTGAATTCATGAAATGAAAATTCTGCCGCATAAACGTAGTATCAGGTTTAAGATGTTCAGAATTCTACGACTTAAAACTTGTTGACCCATTGAAAAAATGTACAAAAGCAAAATATTTACCTTGAAATTTTTAATTTTTTGAACTAAGAATTTTTTGTATATCGGTTTGATATCTTTATTGAATTTAATAAAATACAAAAAATACATATGAAAGTATGTCCTTTATTTTTACTTCAAAATTATGGTCACCGTAGATACCTATTTTACATATAATATCGACCCCTTTGCGCGAAATTACCGTACGTGCCAGAAACCAAATTTTACAGAAGAGCGTTTTTTACTTTTCAAAATTTTTTGGATTTTTTTATTTTATTTTTTTTTTTACTACGTACAAAATACTTTTGTATGGCACATACGATAATTCTGCACACAAGAAAAAAATCTTTGTAACATACAATAAAATATACCGCAAATTTTTACCGAAACTGTAGGGATTTCGGCTACAATATTTTGCTTGGTGAAAGAAAATGGCACAAAAAATTAAATTTCGAAAAAATGGCGCATACGATAATTTCGTGTAAAGGGGTCAATATGTAAACAAAAGTTCACTCACCTTGCTGCATTGCGAATTGTTTCATTTACTTCTCTGGAACTGCATATGATACTTAAGATGCAATTAGCGTATTCAACAGCATTTGTTGCTAAATATCCGTTCTGACTTCCTTCTGAAGTTTCGATTATGTCTAATAAGGGACCTCCGGATCGGTGAGCAATCATTATCATACCTGCGGACATACATTCGACGATGCCGATACCGAAGTGCTCATTCCACATAGTGTGAATTCCAATTCCGGATTTTTGATACAGTTGGAGGAGTTCATCGTAGTGAACATTTACTTTAAATTCCACGGAATTTTCTAAAGAGAGATGTTTAGCCAAGTCTTGCATATTCTTCAGCCGTTCGTAGTCGCTGTCGTTTCGACACGAACCCGCTATGATAAGATGCACCTTATTCCATAGATCCTCATTTCTTGATAAAAGAGTTCGTAGTTCATACATTGCCTGCAGCTGTAACGGGTGATCTTTCTCTGGTCGGAATTGACCAATGGATAAAATTATTACCTTCTCTGTATTCTCGTTGCGCTTTAGCGCTTTAATATGTCTTACTTCACAAGGAGGATATACACGATGCGTTTTAAAAGGTACCCCCCATAAATCACCAATATGATTTTCAGTCCACGTGGAATTAACCATTATAGTGTCTGAACACTGGCCAACCCAGCTGTACATCTATAAAAATTAAATAAAATGAGCATTACTGCTAACATATTCAGGGCTATCACTGAAACCATCGTAGTCCGATTTTTCAAAAATGCTATCACTTAATCTGTGATCGCATTTTCGTATATTTCACGAAAACCGGACTACGATGCATACAACGGTAGTTCAGGGGGGTTACTCTGTAATCAGTAAAAATTTGTGAGGTGGAGCACCATTTTTTCGAAGGTCGAGCGTTTTTGTGCAATTAAAAAAGAAAAATATAAGTTTCACAATTTTTCGAAATTTGAATTATTTTGGAAGTTATAGCTATTAACTTTTTTCCAAGTTGTTTAGATTTTATTTGTTTTCTCGCAATTGATAATACCCATTCTGTTTATTTTTTGAACAGTTAAGAACGATGATGTTTTCTTCCCGTTTTTATTATTTATTTGGTTATAAAAATTCTTTTATAAAAGTAATTAATTTTTTCTTAAATATTACAGACATCTTAATGGCTTTAAAATCGTGTTTTGGATGTGTGGTTGTACGTTATATTAACAATTACTTGCAGAAAAAAAGTTTGCCGGAATGCATCGAGACAAAAGTTACTAACGTTTTTCTCTTGACGCCCAATGTATTTTGCATAGAAAACAATGAAATGAGTAAAGTAAGCGCGCTAGACTCGTTGTCAATCGGTGCTTGTTGAAAAACTCATTCGAGATAAATATCTACGGCAAACGTTTTCCATACAAAATACATTGGGCAAGAGAACAACTTTCGTCTCGATGCATTCCCGCAAATTTTTTTCTGCAATTAACTCTTGATAGAACATACAACAATATTAGCCCAAAATGCGATTTTAACCCTTTAACAAACATTTTATTTTGAGGCTTTCAAATTTACAATTGTAGTAGCCGGCCACTGCTACTTAGTACTTTGTAAGTTTTGAGATGCAGCATGGTTCACAGTTAGCCGTTACTTGCTGCGTTATATTGTTCAGTTGATATTTGTATTTAAAAGTTGGTGTCTTCTATATGCAGCTGAATTTCCGCGTCGCGCCTTCACGTGTCCCAAAAAAATTTTAATGTAAATCGTAAAATTTTTTTTTTTAAGATAGTTGGAAAAGTGAGTTTGTGATAAGGGTCTAAATCTAAATTGTTATTTTGTAATAGCCGGTTTCACCAGCAATTTAAATGGAAAATGATTTTTTATTTTCTATCAATTTCCATATTACATTCAAAAAATTAAAATCATTTTTCACTTAAATTGCTTCCGTGGAATTGGCTGTAAGTATTTTGTCATGTGTCATTTTAAAATTATACTTTGCGTAAACATTATTGAAATTATTATGATATTCATTTTCTTAGTTTTTATAGAATAAAAAAATGTTTTGAAACTTATACAGAAGCGAACCAGCTACGCAACAGCAATCGAAACCAGGAATATGTACCAGGAGTAACCATTGTATAGGCTTACAAGTATGGAAAGCGCCATTTTGTTTGTTTACATTTGAAAACAGCTGAGAGTTACATTCAAGTTTTAGAAAAAACTTTAAAATGTAAATTGAGAAATATTTAAGAAAAATCTGTTTTTATTCATTTGAATTCAATAAAAAAGAAATTAAATATGCATGCCAAGTCTTGCATTTCCAATAATAACGATAAATGTGTATGTTCCAGGCAATAATTTAAAATATTTGTGAAACTTATCGTTTTGCGCTAAAATACAACAATGTGTGTAAAATTCGTTGTCATTGCTTCTGTTTTGAATATCATATTCGTGCCTGCCGGTGGAAAAAATAGGTAAATTTGCATTTGTTTTCAAGAAAAGATATCAGTTAAAATATGTCAGTTAAAGTATGAGAGTTAGATCTAAATGCATATTTGACAAGAAAGATAGAATACAAGATTGCGCCGTCCTGGCGGCGATGACACATCTGTCCAAAAAGGAATAAAAGTCGAATTGGATGTTGAAAGAATATCTGTACAAAAAGTAATAAAAGTCGAATTGGATGTTGAAAGAAAATGTGGGAACAGCAAATTTTCTTAATAATAAATTTTTCGATAAGGAACGTGTTTTGATTGTGCTAATTTATAATAGCCTTATTCATAAACAATAAAGTAGCTTAAAAGGCTTATAAATTGAAAAATGTTTGTAAACGGCAATTTAAAAAGCTTTTTAAAATTTTTATTTTTTATTAATAAGGCAATAAAAATATATGATTTACAATAACTTTTAACAAAGGAAATACGAAATAAGGTGATTTTTGCGGAAGTGGGTATTAGTGAATTTCAGTGCATTTAAAGTTTCTGAGGTTTCGCTTTCTTTTAGATCAGAATTGTCAAAATTGAGAAATTCAAAGTAGCAATACAATAATCATCGAAAAGAAGATTGCGCCCTGCTGTGATGATGAGTAAATTGGAAGAGGAAGAATATAACAATTAAGTGAAAAAATTTTATTTTGACAAATTTAGTGAGCAGTAACGCGTTTCAAGAACGATATTTCAGACAAATCGTTAATGAACAACTATTTTTCCTTCCCGTCTGCTTTGGTTTTGGCAAAAAGTCATTTCAACCATTAAATAATATTATTTGCAAGAACCATTCACTAAAATTGTAACTAACTTTTTATTATTTATTAATTCCTTTTTGATATTCAGCAATAACAAGATGGAAAAAAAATTATAAACCAAAATTAGTAATATTTTTATGAATGTAGTTATAAAAGTTCACAGAGGAAACGCCGGAAAACAATGTATTGGCAACAACATAAAATTTAAGGCAATTTAGATGTCAAAAGAATAATAACTACGATAAAAAAGCAAGAGAGAAGTGTGCGAAAAACAACAAATTTCTTATAAAATATTTTAATTTTTGCTGGGTGTAAATGAAAACTCAATGAGTATTAAGGAAAAGAAAAATTTAAAATAATAAACAGAAAAAAGATGGGTGCACCAAAACTTGAGTTAAATGTTTTTCCCAAATTCTTAAAAAGTAAACAAATCGATTTTTTTAATGTTACTTTACATCTATTTTCTTTTTTTATGAATAAGGCCTTAAGCATGTACATCTTATAGCAATATGCTATATATTTATTTATACACTTTTTGGCTGGCGAAATATGTAATTTTTCAACTTAATAAAAAAGCGTATTCAACCACCTTACTTTTTTTTTAATATTCAATGGCGCAACACAACAACTCTTTTCGTTGCACGAAACCCTTGAACACGTGCCTGTCATCTATTTCTTCTGTTTCGACATTTCGGTATTTTGCATTTCTTTCATTTTGACGTCATTCGCATTGTCAGATTTTTGAAATTCGTTTTGGTTCGACATTCTGCTATTTCATAATTCTTTCATTGTCATGTCATCCATCTTCCATTTCTTACCTTCCATTGCCGTTCGCATCGTCGAAGGTGCCTGTCAAACACTGCCGCCATCATGCTTTTCAGTTTGGCAGGCACGTCCGCTGTTAGAAAGAGAATAGACAAAAAGGGGCATAGGATTCCATACTTGTAAGTATATACGATGGGAGTAACAAAACAAAAATTTTATGTATTAATTGTAACAAAAATGTTTGCAGAAAACATTGCAAGCATATTTCACAATGTGTAGAATGTACCAACACCACTGTTAATGATGACGGATAAAAATTTAAAAAAATAATTGCTTATAATATATTTCAGTATAAATTGATGATGACGGATAAAAATTTAAAAAATGAAGGCTTATATGTTTCAGTATAAACACAAATTATTCAATCTTTTATTTGAATGCTTTTTCGATATAAATAAATAAAAATTATGCTGTCAGCCTTTGAGATCCACTTTGTGGCTAAATTTCCGCGGCGCGTCCTCTCGTGTAACTTTCAAAGCGGGCCCTCCAAGGGTTAAAGTCATTGAGATGTCAGTAATATTAAAAAAAAGTTAATAACATTTATAAAAATAATTTATGACCAAATAAAAAATAAGAATGGGAAGAAAACATCGTCAATTTTGACTGTTTAAACAATGAGCAGAATCGGTATTACCAATAGCGGGAAAATAAATAAAATCTAAACAATTTCGAAAAAAGTTAATAGCTATAACTTACAAAATAATTCGAATTTCGAAAAATTGTGAAACTTGTATTTTTCTTTTATCGTTGTGAGGCATAAACGGTTAATTGCACAAAAAAGCTCGACCTTCGAAAAAATGGTAGCCCACTTCACAAATTTTTTCTCTAATGCGATGCGATAGCAAAATTGTGAAAATTCGGAAAATTCATTATTTCCGCTTTCGCATTTTAGGCACTGTGTGATGCGTAAATGAAAGCCAAACTGCTTCTTTTATCGCAATTTGTGTTAGAGAGCTGTACAGTTATCGCAATCTACAAACTACGTTTAATAAAAATTTTTAAAACTTTTGAATCCACTATGATATAGATTTTTATTTTATAAACAGCGATTGCAAATCTAAATGATTTCCGTTATTTATTTCACGAATATACATACTAATAAATGCGTCAGATTTAAACAATTAATGTTTCAACTTAATGCAACTTTATTTCACAGGCTAACCTAATATTCGCGGCTTGCGTTTTGCTACGCACTCCGTATAATTTTTTTTCATGTGTCACCCGAAATTGGCTTGCGTGCGTTTGCATTTGATTTCATTGAGCGAAATGTCAAATCAAAATGTCACGCAGAATAAAAATTGGAAATTGAGTTAGTTTCATACGCACGCTGTTCAATTTCGGTTGGTCCCATACTAGTTGTATGTGCATGAAAAATTTTTTACAGTAAATTGGCGGCGTCCGTGAATATTAAGTTAGACTGTCATATAATAGTAAACTACAAAATGTATTGATCTCAGCTTGATGTTGTCAAAAAACAAACTAGAGTGCTAGACCTCTCCCCAAAAAGCATCTCCCCGTGTGAGATGTTGTAGGTGTAAGAATAGCGTGGGAAGACGGACTAGCAGAAATCGTACGACCATACTAAACAGGGTGCTTAATATTTGACACCCTTTAACGCCCAGATGTTCTGTAAAATTCCGGAATCTGTCGTGGACGATTTGATCGCCTTGGAGTCGGTGGTTGGGCTGATGACGGTAGGATGACTCTATCAGGTGCATGATCTGCCAGCGAAATGGGCGATTGATGCTAGTTTAGTATATTCGTCTGTGGTGTTTCAGAAGGTGGTG